TGCTGATGTTTCTTCTGATTTGAGGTGAGGAAATGGACGACTTGGACCTTCAGGAATGCTCATCATTACCCCTCCTCAAGCTTGATCCGGAGATAATAAGTGAAGAATCAAGCTTGGAAGTGAGCAACATTGAGTTTTGAAACCAGGAGCGCATCACCCCTACAGCTGCGCTTAAGTCAACCGGTTCCTCCCTTGATCTCTTCTCCACTGCCTCTTGTAAATCTTTTGAACCAAGAGCTCAACACCCAAACAGGCTGCGCTTAATTCAACCGGTTCTTGCAATACATGAGTAGCTCCAGCTTGGTGTGTGGATGATCAAACACTAGTCTGCCTCTCCATCAATACTCCATCCTGAAGTATCTTCAAAGCTCAGCCATATTTTATCTAAGCCACGACTTACAACCACCTGGAATCCTCACAAACAATCTCTCCATGGACAGGAATATACACCATGTGTAGGCTCTGAATCAAACAGGAATATACATCATGTGTAGGCTCTGAACAGCATGGGCAAAGCCTTCTTCTTTGTCTCGATTTGATGATAGGCAGAGAACAACACTTGTGTACCTGAAACATCACTCAAACTCCAGCAAGAATCAGACCACTAACACTAGGATCAGAACTTGGTAACTCACCAATCCTGATCCCAATGTTTTAAGAAAATGCACTAGAAGAATCTAAACAACTCATTCAGTTCAAATCCATGCAACCAAGTTACTAAATGCTCAGGTATGATAACTCATCAATTACATGGCATTTAGGCTATTTTTAATTACCATTTAAGAAACAACATGATTAAATGTCAAAGCAGAGACTAGATAAATCATCTAATCACCTTACACAGTTTAAGCATCACTGGATCAGGAACAACATATGGATGCAAAACAAGATCAGACTTCATTTATCAATGCATTACAAGACCAAGGGATTTTCCTAGACCTTTAGCAATGCAACAAGACACACAACAGGTTCTAGACAAGTCGGCTAAACCATTCACAACATAAATAATTTACTTAAAGCAATAACTAGTAATGACCATGCTAGCAAGCTTTAAACAAGTCAAAACAGAACAACACACACAACTTTTGTCTCATGGGACAGAAACTAGGTTAAGCAACTTTAGCAACTTAATGTGACCCATAGACACTAAACCACCACTTAAAACAATCAGAAACATTTTAAGATAATTTAGTAGACACAATCAGACACCACAACTTGACAATTTTTTTTTTTTTAAATAATTTTCTGAAGTAGAGATTAGACAAGAACAACAACCTAGTCTCTAAATAACTAAACACAATGAGACAAGATATAACACAGCAATTAAAGATTTCAACAGACATTACAGTGTTCTTAACAACCTAGGATCAGACAACACATAGAATTCAAGATAATATATAATAAGATCTAGAGCAGCAACTCAACAACTCAACAAACATCAAGATTTTCTAAGCAACCTAGGTTCACACAACAGTAACAGAGATATGACACAATAATCTTATTAAAGAAGGAGGATTTGCTCACTATCAAGAAACCTGAGCTGGTTTCTTGAAACTCCAGCCCATGGGGCTCACTGAAAATGCAGTGGCTTGAAGTGTGGATTGAGTACCCAACACCACTTGTTGGTATGTCCTCCCTTCATGTCAGGAACAGGCTTAAAACCCCTCCTCTTCTCTTGCTGGTCGTGGGTCTTAGTGGTCAGAGAATGAGCTCCAGCCTTGTTGGCCCGAGAATAGTTTGAACAGCCTCTCTTTAAAGCTTTTTCAATGACCTTGCTCCAACAATAGTTTCCACCATGGGTTTTATTCAGCATCTTGGACCAGAGGAGATGGTTTGGTATCTTATTTGGACCCTTGACAGCAACTGAGGTCGTCATTTCTTTTGTTTTCTCCATCTGTGACAGTCTTGGACCGGTCATTTCTTTTGTTTTCTCCATCTGTGACAGTCTTGGACCAGTGGACAATAGAATGTTTCTACTGGTTTTGCAAGAGACTGGATTTGCAATTGGACTTTGCTGAAGCTTGCTGGACTGAGCTGAAGCTTTCTTGAGTTCCAGAGACTAAATTTCTCCTTTATCTTGAG